CAGAGCGTGAGACTGAGTGGAAGAAAGCTGTCATTGATCAGAAAGGTGACATCAGATCAAATCGTCTACGTACTGAGGAAGTCTACATCATAGAAATAGAAGACACCTGACACCTTGAAAGGAGAGGCCTCCCAAACGAGCGTCTGACGTGTCATATGTTCCATCCAACATGCAAGAAGAGAATACACCTAAAGTGTATGATTGTGTCCCCAAAGGATGTCGGCAAACAACACTAGTTGTTCCTCCATCAGTTGGTGAACAGAAAACATCCGGCCAGTGGGAGACTTGTAAAGCCACCAGTTAGGTTCAAGGACTTTGTGCCCAAGTAAAGATCAACACGCTAAGATGGTAGGATGAAGATACTAACATTCATTTGTGTTTACATTATATCACTTAGATAAGAAGTAGTTCTGATCAGGTTTACCAAATTCATTTCAACTTTATTGGATGTTTCCATTGTTGTGTACTGGTCACTGAGACTACAAAACAGAACTCTTTGTGATAAGAGGCAAATGACCAAAGCCGTTGAAATGAATGGTTTATTCTCTTAGGTATATGCAACAAGTACTAAAAATAGTACTATGGTATCATTTCATCATTCTCAAAAGGGAAGATGTAACGTAATCTGTAAATTAATGCTCCCAATAAGGAAGCAAGGATAGCTCCACTCTGAAGATGTAGACTCTTCTCTCCCCACACTATCCCGTTGCTTCTTCCTAGGCTGCCAAGGGATAAAACAAACAACGAAACAAAGAGATCCAAACCTTTCACCATCATCCTTTCTGTACAGACCCCATGTCCAATGTCACATGAAAGTGATGACTTGCAAAGTATATCCTACATTTTTGGTTGATCAGTAGTTGATATTTATTTCCACATTGGAACACCAAAGATACACAAGACATACATGTTCCATATTCTTACCTTCTCACTGTTTTCTGTGTACATGGTGTTCACGAATGCTGTTTCAAAGTAATAGGACATTGGGTCCTGTAAGTTTCAGATGCCTGTCTGCCCCATTCAAAATTCACAGGACCCATAGAATGAAATTAAACACACATTTCATATTTAACATTTCTTATAATTGGCATTGAAATTTAAAAACCCCCGTAAGATTTATAAAGGGCAAACAAGTGTCACATGTCACATATAACAACTTCAGTCAAAGTCATTATGAAATATACAGTCTGACACTGGGGCCGGTGGGTTGTAGACTTCTATCGGACCGTTGGCAAATCTGCCGGATTTGTCAGAGGGTCAGACGCTATTCGTGAACACTGCATTATATACATACATACATAGTTGCATACATATATACATTTACACCATGTTTTGTATATTTAATGCCACCAACATGTTATCAATCACTCCCCACCAACATATGCCGGTCAAGAACAATCTATGCACTATACTGCAGATTTATAACAATTTTGTAAAGTCATATTAAGTGCCCATGGCCTTATATTAGCAATTTATATTTCTAAAATATGCTTCTAATTAATGAATTAATGTTGATTAATACCAGTAGGTATTGTTTTCAGTTTTTATGTGCAGTGTAATTGTATGTTTGTGATTTGTCTAAGGCATAACACAACATAACAGATCCTACCAGTGACAGACATCAGGTAGTACAATATATTGGAAGCTCAAGGATGCAAAAGTCTGTATCCAGTCATCAGTATCTATCATAAACCAGATAAAGGAGTTACTGATAGACAAAATCAAGTTTCCACTTTCAGGGATTGGGATAGAAAACTTTGACAATGGGCCATTTTCACGATTATTAGCCATTTTCTGAATTTAGAATGGGCCACTGCCCTTTGTATCAATAGTAAACTTCAAAATTTTAATGGGCCATTTTTTATTCTCATGTGCAAAATGGTCCATGGCCCCTGCCTTTCCCAATCCCTGCACTTTGTCATAATGACAACGTTTCGAATGTACATTATGGAAGTGTTCCAAAAATAAATGTTTCCACAAATATTGGTAAACATAGAGTCCTATTATGATAATTATTTGATATAATATCTTCCTACTTTGCAATCTTGAATGACGTTGTCAGTTACTTATTATCAATAGTGCTAAATTCTTATATATACAGGGTTCGACACTCATGCTTGTCCGCTTGCCCGTGGCAAGTACTAATTAATCAGGGCAAGTAAAATTGCTAAAAGGCTTGCCCGAGTGGCAAGTACATATTTTTTCAACTTCTAACCTCAATTCATTCATTAAAACTCTTCACTTGCTGTGTTTTGTTTGTCTAGTTCTTTCTATGCCATAAGTAACATGGGGCAAGTAGTATCTGTGATGGGCAAGTAGTTTAACTTTTCTACTTGCCCACTTGGCAAGTGGGAGAAATCAGTGAGTGTCAAACCCTGATATACACCTGGAACTTAATTAAGCACCCCCTGATATATTTCATGATAGTAGAGCAACTGTTAACCATCATTAAACATGAATGATATCTCTGTATTACAACACATCTCTAGTAGTCTAAAAAGGTGTTTCAGTTCCTTTGCACTCGTCACAACGCATCCCTTGTGCACGTGAAGCATACAACCCACACTTTTCCCAAAATTCAGTTTCTCTGACATGCAATTTATGGGTATAAAAGCAGACAAATTTGTAACTGTCTCCATTAATGAATACTGAAATGGCGAGGAGAAGACTTTCTGAAGCAATAAGGTGGCAAATTGTCGGCATGCATGCAACAGGCATGTCCTTCAAAGCTATTGGACGACAACTGGGCTACAGTCACTCGGTCATCAGCCGACTTGTCCGAAAACATCAGATGACAGATTTGAGAGATCGTCCAAGGCCTGGACAACCCAGGATGACAACGGCCCGTGATGATCGCAGCCTGGCACGTCTGGTAAGGCGAGAACCCTTTGCCACAAGTTCGGTTTTGAAGCGCCTGTGGTTACCCTACAGACAATTATCCACCAGAACCGTCTGAAATCGCCTTAGGGCACTTGGAATGAGGTCCAGAAGAGTCATCAAACGTCCTGCTCTGTCTGATCTCCATAAGAGACGACGTCTGGAGTGGTGTATGGCCCGTCGCCAGTGGAACCTGAGGACATGGAGGATGGTCCACTGGTCAGATGAGAGCAGGTTCCTCCTCCACGTTACAGATGGTCGAATGAGAGTGTGGAGGCATAAAAACACTGCTTACGTGCCCAGGAATATCCACCCTACTGTTCCTTATGGTGGAGGATCGGTTATGATCTGGAGTTGTCTTTCACACGACTGTAAACTTCAAATGGTGACTGTCCGAGGAAATCTTGATGGTCAGCAGTACATCCGGGATATTCCCCATCCAGTTGTCGTGCCTCACTTTGACAACCACCCGTTGGCTACTCACCCGATATTCATGGATGACAACGCCAGGCCGCGATCGTTCACGCGTGCTGTGACCGCACATCTCCAGAATGAGGCTATCATGACATTACCTTGGCCAGCAATGAGCCCCGATTTGAATCCTTTGGAGCACATCTGGGACTTTCTTGGACGCCGTGTGAGGTTGAGAGAACCCCCTCTCCAGCATCTTGCACAGCTGGAAGCTGCTTTGCATGAAGAATGGCTGCAATTGCCAATTGATCGTATCAGAAGGTTTACCAGTAGCATGATGAGGAGGATTCAAGCTGTCATCCAAGCACGTGGGGGATACACCCGATACTGATGCCAGACCCATCAGATGTTAACATGTGACATTCCTTGTGCATCATTTCTTGTAATAGTCAGCCATTGACAATGCTACGACCATAGTTGTTCAGTGACTATTTTCATCAAGAATCAATAGTGACCAAATCACATTGGTTACGCTATTAAAACAACACGTATTGGAATCATCGTCTTGTTTTTCATTTGCCAGGGTACAGGGTCTATGAAGCTGAGACATTGCATGAATTATCGCTGCTATAATATATATAAAGTTTACTTTCAAATTAGCTTGCTGTTCTGAACAGCCATGCTGAAAATATAATTATTCAGCCATTTCTGCATGTCATGTTATGTTATATTTCAGCAAGTATGCAGTTTGCTGCAAACTACATGAAACATTTTGTGGCCTATATTGATTTTTTACCCAGCAATGACATTTGATTTTCCCCCCACCACAGTTTTGTGGTGTCCCAGCATTTTAATGCCTCAGACATCCCAGGTATCTACTAATGAGGAAACAGTAACTGTGCATAACATAATATCTCTTGAACTCACAGTGCACCAACTGCTCTTGAACTCACAGTGCACCAACTGCTCTTGAACTCACAGTGCACCAACTGCTCTTGAACTCACAGTGCACCAACTTCTCTTGAACTCACAGTGCACCAACTTCTCTTGAACTCACAGTGCACCAACTTCTCTTGAACTCACAATGCACCAACTGCTCTTGAACTCACAGTGCACCAACTTCTCTTGAACTCACAGTGCACCAACTTCTCTTGAACTCACAGTGCACCAACTTCTCTTGAACACACAGTGCACCAACTTCTCTTGAACTCACAATGCACCAACTTCTCTTGAACTCACAATGCACCAACTGCTCTTGAACTTACTTGTAATGTTTTGTCGCCAAAATTATGTGTCACAATAATACTGTAAAGTTTCTTCAAGTGACACAGCCTTGACATAATGGCCTGGATCACTTGCCAAAATATTTCAGTTAACATAAGGGACATGACAATAGCAGAATATTTTGGGAAATACTACAATGTTTGACAACTGGTTTGTCTAATCCTTATCTTTTGCTATTATCATTAGTTTGAAACCTTTCAGTGTTGTCTGTGCATCATGACATTGACTTTAGGCACTGTCTATAACACCGCTCTATGTCCACTAGTGAATGTCAACAAGTATACATCAATGTTTTACATGTCTTAATAAAACAAACAGTGATGTCATCTGGAAGCAGAATGTCATATGATCTTTAACTCATTATGTGATCGATAACCTTGAAGTTCCTGTAAGCCACAGAGCCTCAGAGATCTATTGAATTGTTTCAGAATGAATTGCAGCTGGAATAGCACTGAAAGATGGCAGTTACCAGAATGATGAAAACAAAACAGAAATTGTTTGCGGTGCTATTAACCTATGCATCACTTTTGACATCAGCTGCAAGTCAGGACCCAGTCCTTGCAAATATCCAATCTCCTGACTCAGTTGGAAACTCTATTGATGACCAGGGCAATATAACATGGGCTGACATTCCACAAGGAGACCCATACAAGGCTAATGCTGAATACAGTGATGGAGGAATGGGGCCCCTGTTTGACTTCGCTCGGAGTTTTGTCAATACGTGTCTGCAAAAGGGATTTCCTTACGGTAAGTTTTGCTTTGATTTGCAGAAGACTATTAATTATAATTTGTGACAACATTGGCCTACCTAAAACCATGTTTTTGTCCAAGACACTTAACATTGTACAATCTGGGAATATAATGATAAAAAAACTTTAAAAGCACAGCTTCATGGAATCTTATTTTTCAAGCCCTACATGTACCAAAAAAAATTGGGATGAAATCAATTGTTGTCTTGTTCTATTTGCCAACAGAGACGTCCATGTCACTGTTAGGTGATTTACTAGGTTTACATAGAATGTAAAGGTCTTGAATTTGGCAAATGTTGTTATTTGTCACTCACTCTGATAATATGTGTGTTGGGTTTAATGCTGCTTTTAGGCAACTTCAAGCAGTATCAGTATGGGGTGGGGAGATGCCATTGACTTTACACATTGTATTCATGTGAGGAATCAAATAATGAGGGATGCCATATAGCAAAAGATTAATCTGTAACTCAAGGATAATTATCAATCAATCAATTTGTTTATTGTTTCAAGGCCAGTTGACCCATAATACAGTAGATTAAATATACATGAATATATGTACATGCGTATCAAAGGAGTTCTCCTCGAATATGAAATGAATTGTAAAGACATTTTGCTAACATGAATTTATGATCATTGGAATTCATTAAAGATATTAACCCATTGATATTTCTATTCTGCTTGAAAATAAGAAGTACATCATCATGAAGAGTTCTATACATTGGACATTTATATAAAATATGCATTTCATCTTCCGTTACATTACACAATGTGCATTTAGAATCAAAGCTTTTGTAATCACAAAAACCTTTTCTAATACATTGTATTCCTAGCCTGTTGTAACAGCTTCTGAAGATAAGCAGTGCTTTATGATATTTAATATCATTAAGATCAAAGATGTACAATTCTGTAGTAAGTGATGTCTTAATAATAGAATAAAACTGTAACAAGGTTTTGTTTGTAAGTTGTGCATGCCAGTCTTGCTTGGCACAATCAAGTAATCTTTTCTTAAATAGCTTTAAAAATAAATCAATATTACCTACTCCCTGCTGTATCCAATCAGGACCAAAACCATAAGTGAATAATAGTTGCATAACATTTGATGCCCAATTTGCATATTTTCTATGACACGTTTGTTTCAACATAAGATAAGATTGGTACGGGTATCTATATGATGGCATGGCAATCAATCTCAACCAATATCTGATACAACTCGTATAGGTGTTGACATACAAGGGATATCTCCCACATTTTCCGTACATAACAACATTCGGGAAGGATTTGCTGACATTCAAGGCAAATTTACAAAATGATCGATGAACGATTTCTAGTTGATTCATTTCCCTATATCCCCATATTTCGCTCCCATACATCAAAATTGGTACAATCTTCTTATCGAATATCTTAAATGAATCACAAATATTTATATCATATTTACGAATAAGACTTTTTATAGGAAATAATGCTTTGTTTGCTTGTTGTGCTAAAATAGTACAAGTTCTTGTCCAAACAAGTTTAGGTGTCATCATAACACCCAGATACTTGTAGGCATTAACTACTTCAATGTCTGTACCATTATATGTCCATTTATCCAATCTAGATAGCCGACCCCCGTTTCGAAAAACAATAACTTAAGTTTTGTCAGTATTCATCTCCATGCCCCATTTACAACAATAACTATGAAGAAAATCTAGATGTTTTTGCAACTTGAGAGGTGTATCAGCCACTAATACGAGATCATCTGCAAAGAGTAACGATAAAATATTATACATGTCTTCCGATATTAATATTCCATGATCAAAAAGTTCACTCACAGATTCATAGAGTTCCATAATAAATATCGCAAAAAGCAAGGGACTAAGAGCACACCCCTGTCTAACCCCTGTGGAACAACTGAAACAATCAGACAGTTTCCTCTCTTCAATTACAACTGCTGATTTTATCTTGTTGTACAAGGTTTGGAGAACTTTAAATATGTTTCCATGTATACCATTTTTCAAAATTATGTGTAATAGTGCAAAAGTAGAGCTGTTCTGTCAATGAAACAAAGTAGAAAAGAAATCACAATTTGTTCCAACTGTTAACATTAAAATGAGTGATCATTGCCGTGAAATGGTTTTAAACTTTGTGACTCAATTTCATGTGAACAAATCAAGTAATTGCATACATCAACAAACAAACAATGAGGGAAAATATGTCAAATCATTCTTAAAAATTTAGTAATTCTGTTTTTCAGACCTGATTGAAAAGGTGATGAATGGACATTTTGATATGTCAGAAGTACAAGGGGTGAGTATGTAATCCTGAGTGATTAAGTAGGGCTTATTGCGACTTTGAACTGTATTATGAGTTAAATCGAGGCATATCAGCTGAATGTCATGCATACTGATGGAGGTCTCCCACATTTACCATTTTGGTAAACCCCACCAGCACAGGTATGGTGCTTACAATGCCAAGAAACACAGTAGAGGCAAACTCACAAACAATAATTCCAACTTGCCCAAGCGAATGAAGTCTGAATTCATTCAGATGTGATTCAGGTGACTGGAACACCCGAGCACAATTTCTTCTTTGAGGATTTATATTCATGAGTAATTGAAATGAAAAATATATCAGTAGTTTGATAACCATATTACCTGATTATAGTCCATACAATTGTAGCAAGAGGTCTTGACGAACCCGTAAAAATCACGCTTTCGCCATATTACCTGATTAGTCTGATTATATCCATACAGATTGTTTTGAGTGTTGAATATTTTAAAAGAGTTCAAGAGCTAATACCTGAATGTTCTGACACAACACAGGTGACATGGTAGTTCTTGCTGTTAGCGGAAATAACCTGCACACATATTTAAATTCGGGAACTATTGTCTTGTTCACTTGTCCCACACCCAGGAAATTACGCCTCTGTCCTTGAATAAACGGCTGCACATGATGCCCAATGATCTCATCCCAGCATCCCAGACCTGTCAGATTGCCACTGACAATGACAAGTTGTGGCTGACCACGAGATGTTATGCCTCCCCTTACCATAACGCTTGCACCACCAAACTGTCGCTGTTGAACAATGCACGCATTAGCATATCATTCACGTCACCATCTGTACACCCTTGCCCTGCCATCGAAGCTGTCCAGATGAAATCTTGACTCATCAGTGAGTCCCGATCTTGTCTCCTGTACCGTAGACGCTGCCTGCACCATCCCAATCTTTTCTCCTGTACCGTAGAAGCTGTCTGCACCATCCCAATCTTTTCTCCTGTACCGTAGAAGCTGTCTGCACCAGGCAAGACATGCTTGTCTGTGACGTTGGAGCAAACTTGGACATATTGCAGGCTGTTGGGGCTGGTTGTTGTGCTGACTCAGTCGGTTACGTACAGTCCTGGAACTGATTGGATGTAAGTCAGGAATGATCCGAGCAGTAAATGTCTTTCAACATGTCTGCCATATATTTTTTTTACATTTTTTTTAACAGGTGGCACTGGACTATTTAGGCTATGGGGCAGCCATTGTAGTTGGATTGCTGTTTATATTCATCTTCCCCATAATTGGTTGCTGCTTCTGCTGTTGTCGCTGCTGTGGCAACTGTGGAGGAAAACGGATCCAGAAAGATAACCCAAGTGCTTCGTGTAAAAGGAAGATTTTTGGCGTTATTCTTCTGTTGCTGGTGGTAATGACAAGGTCAGTTTTTCACTAGGATCTATAGCAGCCAATTGTCATTGTATCCCAATTGTGTAGACGATGCTCATGCTGTTGTTCACTGGATTGTCTGGTCCAGACTCAATTTTTCACAGACTGTGCTGAGTGCAGCGTTAAACAACAAACCAACCGACCCAACCTGTTCTTCAGTCCAAGAACCATCAATTGTTGGTTTTAAAGGTGTTTTGCAATATCTTTTAAACATTCAAACATGCCTTGTAGTGCCTTATTGCTATTACACATTTAGTTTTCTTTCCAATGTAATGAAAGTTGATTCATGATGGTTTTTAGAGATAATGGCATAGTCAAATATATAAATGTGTTTATTGCAGTTTGTATATTTTGACCTTGCTCTGAAATTTTGACTTGTGCATTTGGACCATGCACTTAGATCCTACAGTATAGGATCTGTATTCTTACACTTACACAAAGGTGGTTATAAAATTTCCTCAAGCTACACACGACCAAAAACTGGATCGTACACCATAAAATGAACATAAGTACAGTACGAAATACATGCTATGACCAGATTTACGTATGTGGACAGAAACTGCACCTTTGAAACATATACTCATCTTACATTGACATATACACAAGCACCTGTTTTTTCATGTATGCTATGAACAGATTTGCTGACATGAATTTAAGATTTGATACCTCTATAAATGCTTGATCATAGAGTCTTTCCAACACATTCCTTTCAATTGTAATATTTGATGAAATTTCTGAATCTTTTCTGAGTTTCCTCGAGCTGGAAAGGTAAGGAAATTAAATTTAAATTTTCCAAAGCTTTTATGCCTTAGAAACTTACTTATCATACTGGATATAAGGGTATGTATTTGAAGGGTTTTTACATATTCACATTACCAGTAAAACAAGATAATTAAAACATTGTTTCATCACCAGCTTAGTCAGTTCTTTAGACAAGTGTGAAGGGAGAAAAGATCTGACAGATTTTGAGCTATTAAGCATTTGCTTAAATGTTGTCATTCACTTTGGGGTTTGATAGTTGTTTAGGATATGCAATATATTATTACTCTCCTTCAGTTAATTCTGCTTTTTTTAACCAATGACAACATTACAATAAGCACCTGTGCATTATTCAGTGCAGTATCTTTGTTTACTTAAAGCTACACACCTGATAGGTACTTACACACAGTGTCTCTCTACTTTTTGGTTATTCAATTTCTTCAAGCAAATCAGTGGGCAAGTGACTCAAATGAGTTATGCTTGTTTTTGTAGTTTGCATATTTTAAGCATATCAGGCAGTCTTGAGACATATTAATGCATTATCACCAGATACCTCCCTTCTTTTCCCTGTTTCCACTACCCCATGGATAATTGGAGTGTAATACCATATAAGAGATCATGCAAGAACAAGTTACAGTCACGGTACATGTATGTGGACACTGTACACCAATTAAGTTTTGCTAACATATAGAACCATTATTTTTGTAAGAACAATAGGTGACACAGTGTTAAACAATAATCACTCTGTCTCTACTTAGAAATACTTCTGTTGAATTTATACAATAAAAACATGAAATATGTTATAATTCTATTTCATGGCTTTTGCAGTTTACACATATGATTTACACATCACCATGCATAAAGCAGATTCTACAAACATCATATGTCATATAGCACTGGCTATTGTACAATTCTGCTTACTTAATTGCTGTGTTTATAGCCATTGTTACCAGTGTTTGCAAACAATTGTCACCAGAAGAACCCTGGGGACATGTGGTAAAAGTAGATCACAAAAATAGATCACAAGTCAGTTGACTTGAATCCATAGTACTACTCATTGGACTGTTGGGATCAACAATTGTAGACATAGTTTTCCTTAATATACTAGCCTGTAAGAACGTGTTAGGTATGGAAATCAAGCTAACAGACATATTTTTCATTAACAGTTATGAAGCGACGCACTTTGCAAAAAGCTTCTGTACAAACAACCCATTCATTTGAATGATATTTGGTGTAAAGTTTGTATGAGATTTTGTGCCTTGTTCTGAATCATTATTGTAAATTTGACAGCAATATTTAAGAAAGGATAAATTGATATTCTTCCAGAAATATGATTCAGTCTACATGAAAACAACATGCTTACAGTGCAGTTTTATTCCACTGGGTTATGTATGTACAAGTGCACTAGCCCAAGAATAAACTTATGATAACAGTGGGCCAGGCTGTTCACATCAGTGTTAAGTTCAGCAAGAGTCAAATAAGTATGAAAAAAAACTGACGGAAATGGGAAAATGACCTGTGTGACTAAGGAATACATTAGTTAATGTTGTAGCTATGTAGACACAGTGTTTCTGGCAGTTCTTGGGAGTGGGGCACTGTTATTGATTGCAGTGTAGCAGTGATCCTATGTCATTATTGGGCAGTCAGCTCTTGGAGTATTGACAAAACATCAGGAATGAAATCTGAACCATGACAAATTAGATCATCCAAGGTATATTCCAGGTGGGAGGTGTTTACAATGATAAGTTCAATGGTTTTTCAACAATAAATAACTGCTATATATACTCTCTATCATAGACACTAGAAATTACAAGAATTACAACATTAAGTATCAGTGGCTGCCTTTTTGACATTTCAAACTGTTAACCCCCTATCAACTTGTGCAATGGTGGTGTGGCACTATATAAAATTAAGACGTAGTAAGTCTGTGGTATGCAGAAATTCACATTATACTCTTTTTTAGAGTCCTATGCTGATTGCTTGGAATGAAGGCAACACAATAAAAAAAATAAATATTTGTAAGCATCAATCACATGTCTCATTTTACACAAGAATAAAGGTCTGATCATCTTCACTTTGCAGTGCAAAGTATGCTACAGATTTTCTGGTTCCTATGTTTATAGGAAAGGTGCTGTGCAACGTATGCTTCAGATTTTCTGGTTCCTGTGCTTATAGGAAAGCAAAGTATGCTTCAGATTTTCTGGTTCCTATGTTTATAGGAAAGGTGCTGTGCAAAGTATGCTTCAGATTTTCTGGTTCCTATGTTTATAGGAAAGGTGCTGTGCAAAGTATGCTTCAGATTTTCTGGTTCCTATGTTTATAGGAAAGGTGCTGTGCAAAGTATGCTTCAGATTTTCTGGTTCCTATGTTTATAGGAAAGGTGCTGTGCAAAGTATGCTTCAGATTTTCTGGTTCCTATGTTTATAGGAAAGGTGCTGTGCAAAGTTTGATACAGATCTTGTATTTTTGTTAAGAATAATCATTATGTATTCTTCTTCAGCTGAAGTTGGGAGTCACCACTGGGGGAATTATTGAGCCTTATTCACATTTTTTGGCTTGTTTGATTTCAATGTACATGTATGTGCTCCTGCATTGGTCAAAGTGACTAAGAAAGTTATCTGGAACAATTTGTCACCCCCTAAGATGCTGGAAGATACCCATTTGCATGGTATCAGGCACTTGTGTTTGATATCCTTTTGAAATGCTACATTCTGAAATCTATCCTGGGTCTAGATAGATGTCATGAACTCATCTTTTTCCCTCAGGTATATTGTGGCACTGATTAATTTACAATAGATGACTTCTTACTGTAATATTACACAGAAAATACTGAAACCAATAGTAAAGTGGAACCGTGCAGCTAGTGCTAGATGTGAATCCTGATAGGAGATGTGTCCTCCAGCACACACAGGAGAGAAGAAGTTTTCCCGTCATTGCACACTGGAAAGCTATGTATGCTGTCAATGCTATGAGGGGAACAACTGATTGTGTATAAGACAACTTCTGTTGAAAATCTGAAATATTAGGTACAGTGTGATTGGAGCCAGAATATAAGAATTTATGGCAATGATGTAGAGGATCTGCAATATTTAGAGTTTTTTTTATTTTGCTAAAATTATCAAACAATCTCTGCTAAAGTATTTAAGAAATACAGTTCGCTTTACCCCAATGTATTGTGTAATAAAGTCCACAAAAGTTAAACGTAATGTTTCCACCAGTGATGTTAACCAAGAAACGGGGTGCTACAGAGTACAGTTTACTGTAGGAGGATGTACAAGGTGATGACTTTGGTTACCAAGGGTAGGTTTGACAGAAGAGATGCTATTGGTTTCTTTGCTATTTATGGATAGTTTACAATGAGGGTTTTCATCTAAAAATATTTTATTGTATGATCATAGTCTAAGTACAAATTTCTGGCCCTGATGTAATAGTGAGGAGGTAGAAATTCTTGAAATTATGAACTGTAGTTATTTCCATATATTTTCTGGAGGATTGAAGTAATTTTTGCAAGTACTTAGAAACAATTAAGTTATCGGTTGCCACATATTACGTAAACACCTATCAAAATGTAATTAGAACCTTACATTTCTCGTAAGCAGTCAGTCCTCCACTTTGATTCCACTTTGTTTTTGTTTCAGTGCTGGTATGGTGTGTGTATTTGTTTCCAACGATCGCATGACAACAGCACTGAGCAAGTTTGGTGATACAGCTGTAGACAACATTGATGACATTACCACATTCCTTGACAACACAATTGAGGTAATTCAAATTTAGCCTGCACATGAAGGTGATCAGCTTACTGGAACTAAGATTTGTTTGGTTTCAGTTTAAGGATTCCCCTGTTCTTCACTTTAACTGGTGTAATCATTAACAAATTGATTGTTTTACTTATTAAAAGTTTCTAGTTAATACATTTGCAGAGTAGTCATATATGCCTTGGCCATTCAGCATGTACTTTCTTTTCAAAACACATTTTCTTCTCTGCAGTCAACTTTTTTCAAGCCCTTCTCTTCATGTACAAACTTTCAAATACTGATAACTGTCAAACTGTTAAAATGCTTTGTCAAACTGTAATGGTGCTTGGTGTCTGTTAAGGTATTAAGTGGGGCACAAGGCATACTTTTTATATTTTTAATTAATTCAAATTTTGATAATAAGTTTCTTGGTGACAGTGCTTTGTATATTCTCTCGACATGTAATCTTGGCATTACAAATTCTTCAGAAACTGGTTTTAAGGTACAGTCTGATTTTAGCAGCAGTCTATTACAGGTTTTTTTCAGTGTAAGTTACTCAGCAAACTCTTGTTATCATACAATAAATTTGTGTGGGGATGGGGTGGGGTGGTGCTGTGTGTCTTATCTCATAATGACCTTATTTCATTTTTTTCAAAGCAAGTAAAGCATGTTGCGGGAGACAACTTCAACTTCACAAAAAAGGCAATCTTCCGTGACTTAGACAGTAAGTTTGTCACTTTTATGTGATGTTGTTTTAAAACTATGACATTTAATCAAGCTTCAATGTGAGCTTATGGGTTTTCCTTTGTTAGCAGCACTCTCTACATTTATCACGGATACACAACTGTATTACAAAAGTGCTAACCACCCAAACCCCACCCACCCCTGCTTTGCCGATCACTACGCTACCATCGCATGCAATCAATTAAATCTTACTGTAAACATATTCATGGATGATTAGCCGATCGTGTGGGCCTGTGCACAGAGCTCCGGTCATAAATGAGTTGCAGTTAAGCAACGTTAAGTGCTGTGCTATTGATTATTAGCACTATGACCTACCTAGTGTGGAGTTTGGCACTATATACATGGACACACATTATCATTATTATTATTTCCAGGAAAATCCCACTTCAATACTATCCATAACACCTTGGATGATTAGAAAAAAACGTCTTTCATACAAAATAACTTCTTTGGCACATCCACACTCCTGAAAGGTAATACCATTGAATCAAGAATCAACTTCTGTACCTTATTTCAACTTATTTTATTTTACATTCGAATACTTTGTTACAGAATAGGCATCATGTACAATCTACAATGACTTAAGCTTCTATATTCTCATTTTTGAACACAGGTTTGGGATACCTTGTGGGTATACCAGTGCGAGAATCAATTGGTATCTCTGGAGGTGTCAGTGCAGCTTTCAGTAGCGCCCTAGCTCTTCAAGGAGGTGAGTTCTTGATAAGGAAAGTATAAGACATTTTCTCTGAGTTGGAAATGCCAGCAGATGTTCAGCTAATAAGGAAAATGATGGCAAATTTTTATTTCAGCAGATCTCACTTACAACAGTAAAATGCATTGGCTGATTCATCCAAAGAAAGACTTCGCCAAAGATAAGGCACAACTTAACAATAGCTGAGGTTAAATAAAATAAGTTATTAGATCTTGTTCTAATCTTATAAGATGTCACTGTGTGTGCATACTGAGATTAAGACAGAGATACACACATGTGTAACACAACTTAATCAAGTATTTTGCTGGTATGTTGACAAGAGAGGTGAAAAAGAGTGACAAAGTATTGGAAATCATTGAAATCCAGTTTGGTAATTTTAAGGGTTTGTGGTGCATGGTTTGTGAAAAGATTGCACAGATGAATGGATTTCAGCTATGATAATTTAAGATAGATATTATGGTGTCAACTGTAAAACTTTGAATAGTGGAAAATTATAATTATTAAGACACAAAGAAGCCAACAGTAGGTTTAGATATATTTAAGGGTACCTACCAAGTGTAATATTCATTCTACCTTCAGTCTTGTATTAACAGTGTGACAGTGCTGTTAATTTTCCATGTGTAATACATTGTTTGAGTGGGTAGTCAGTGAGGGGTAGCGATGTACTATATTTACACGGATTTAGTATCTGATTTAGACAACATGTTCTAGAACCTGCTACAGGGTACTACAACCTACCTATTATTCATCAATTGCACAGAACAAATAAACACATCTCGTCAAGAAAATAAATAAAAAATACTTGAAGATGCACATGATATTAATGTGTCTAGGTACACTTTCTGTAAACTTGTATTGAAGTTTTGTTACAAATGCCTGAGTAACCAGGGATGGCAATTTTCCAGTGATCTGCAGATTTTATTTCTAATTGATCAATTCTGTGAATCTTCTAAATCCGTTGAGAAACACTGAACCCCCATTCAATGACACACTGAAAATACATATTCCTGTCGCCATCCCTGGGTAACCAAAAGCTGTGAGTTCTGAGTGGGGATATCATCTCTATGAAAGACATGCATCTCGTGGCTATCTAAGAAAATGAGAACAGGGATATGAAATAGTCTGGTTGATAGTGTGGTTGGATGAAACATGGGTTAATGCAAATCACACATCATCCTAACAATGGCAGCATGCAGATCTGAATCAATGTCATAAGATACCTATTGCCAAAAACGACACCTTTATCTCCTGAAGTGGTTTAAACAATCTATGTTTCAAATATGGTCAACACAGCAGATATACTGAAAAAGGCTATTGGTCACTGGTCAGCTATTTTTGTTCAAAGTGTAGTGAAATTTGGTGATGTATGGATGGGTTCAACATGTATCTGTTTTGTTGTTGGTGTCATGAATGTTACCTTGATTTGACCCCTGCATTTCAGCCATCCTCAGCTGATGGTACTGTTTATAGACCTTACTAGTGTTTTACAAAGTTCACACAAAATTATAATTATTTACCTATTTTAATATATCAACCCAATTGATATGACTCAACCAAAGAAATATACTCAGCAGCAAAAAATACGTCAGTACGAATTCAAAATGAGATAGGCACTGTAATCAAATCATTACAGAAATGAACATAATGAGTGGATCAAAACCATTTTTTGTGTACAATATCTTGACACATCAATAAATAACTCAGCACAATTTCAAGACATTACGTTAATGTTTGCAGTCCATTCAGACTCTTGACTTCAGTATCTAGTGTGACCACCACAAGCAGCAATAACTGCAGCACAGCGTCTATGCATGGAGTACACCAATCGATTGATGAGGGCCATTTGCACCTGGAACCACACTCTGAGAAAGGCCTGGCACAATAAATCGGCTGTGTTCGGCCTTGGTATGACATTATTCAGTCTCCACTGAATTTCATCCCAAAGATGTTCAATTGGGTTTAAATCAGGAAAAAGGGCTGACCACTGCATAATGATGACACCGTTCTGCTGTAGGAAGTCCCGAGTAGCTCTGGCAGCATGGGCCTGGGCGTTATCAAGCTGAAAAATGTTGTTCCGGTGACGTGTGAAATGTGGTATGACGTGGGATCTGAGAGCTTGGTCGATGTAGCGCACCGCTGTGATGCCGCCTCCTCCTCTCCCAGGACCAAGGTTCTGGAACACCACAGGACCCACTCTCTACGGCAATGGAGGTTCCCGCTGTTAAGACGTCGGCGTACTGTATCAGTACTGATTGGTCTTCCGTGTGTTCCCACTGTCTGGCATGCTGTTTCGGATGCCTGCATAAAGGGATTCTGTACATACTGTCGCACAACATGGCGGTCTTGTCGTCTTGTGGTCACCCTTGGTCAGCCAGTATGGGGGGCGATCATTTGTGGTGTTGGTGGCCCAGGAACGTTGCTGCAGCCTGTAGATGGTCCGAACGTTGACCTGGAAGTAATTGGCAACGGCTTGTGCAGTGTGGCCAGCTTAAAGTCTTCCTAGTGCCTGGATCCTCTGAGCTGTCGTGAGTCGCGGCATCCTGCTGACGTTGTAATGTGAATGTTTCAACCAGGTTTTGGGGTGCATTTTATAGGGCTGGTCCTTGTGAACAGCACGTGCAGCATTAGTTGCATGAAAAACACAGAGAACACTGTACCATCTCCGAGATCAGGTTGCGTTTTTGAGACCATTTCCTGGGTTCAATTCTGAGTTTGGGAAGGAATGTCTTTGCTCAGGTGATGTTGTCAAAAATATACAATCAAAACATCAAATGAATTTACAGTTATCCGTTTCTGTGAAGGAAAATTCCAAACTGAGGTTTCTTTTGCTGCTTAGTATATTTACATATACACTCTGCTCTTCATCTACACTGAAAGCTCTTATGGTAATTATTCAGTTATTTATGATGAAAAAGTGATGACTTTGTGTGTGTGTGTAGTTCTGTTCTTCGCAGGGCTGGATATTGATATAGATGATAGAGATTGATAATTGTTAACTAAATATCAATCGATAATCAATAAATATTGGAGAAGTAACTTTGAGCAAATATGCAAAGTCCTTCACCTGTACTAGAACCACTGGAACAGTGTAGCTGCAACTGCACACAATTGTTCCCTTAAAAAAACACATTTCATTGTTTCAAGTCTTAATTTCATTAAAAAAAATTATTTCAGGTGAAATTTTGTTTCTCGTTGTGATGATATCATCTTTTGTTCAGATCATGAGTTTTTTGTGCTTGGTTATGCCTTCTTTACTTATCCATAAATTATTTGAATTGTGATAGAAGCTTCTGTAAAATTGCTGGAAATTGGAGATTTGTAAATTTTAACTTTTAATTGTATATTTATATACTTATCCTATCTCACGATTTGCACTTCTCTCTCTTGCTTCGACGCTGAGTGGAAGGAATGAGAACTTTCCCTGTAGGCCTCTCTTGTCCATACGCCCATGTTCCCAAGGCTGCTGAGACTCTTTATAGGACAGGTCCCTTGTCCCTGGTTAAGTGTGCAGCACGTTCCCCTATCTACCCACATGACTACCTTAGAGTGATCATTCTCTTCTTGGCGCCAACGACAGTTAACTGTAACCGTCGTAATCTGAATAGTGGGGAGGCTGGGGAAATAGGATTAGAATATATAATACAAATTTCCAAATTTTTAAACTTATCCTATCCCACGATTTGCACTTATCCCACGGTTGGATGGCAGGTTGCAGATTACCCTAAGTCAAAAAGCACTGACAGTATATACTGTATAGGCTAATGACAACCCTAGATAGCAATGAACAAGGGAGGCCGGATCTGACTAGCATAGTACTTATACTAGTGATGGGTTCTCATGAACCCCTTGGCTTACAGTACTAGGCACAATAGGGAACATTCCTGGAGTTGTGTCCCCTTGCCCGCTTGGAGCGCAGTGGTAGTTACGGTCCAACTGTAGCTGTCATTCTGATACTGGCAGGGCCTGCGGAAAGAGTTCCTTCTGTTCCCCCATATTCTTTCTTTCACAGATTAACGCTAAGTGGTTCGACCATATATACTGAAATGAATTTGGGGGCTTTTAGTTATTTTTGTGAGTTCTCTAGTAATTGTTGTGTTAGGTTTTGTTAATAATTTTAGTATACTCAGTATATAGATTTATCAATATTATTTGGGATGGGGGAACGGGAGGAACTCTTAGCGGGCCTGCCTATCGGCTTAACCTAAACTTAAATCAACATTAAACATACTTTTGACTCTGTGATTCTTATATTACGAATTACGGAAGCTGGAAGTTGCCCCGACTGAAGACTGTGGTCAAAGCACGAAGAACTAGCGTGTCTGGCTGAAAAATAATGCTAATAGAACGGTACTGCAGTTATTGTAATATTGCCGTTTCTCTGAATTTCTTATTGAGTAGTTACTTTGTAAATTCATCAAACCATTTACTCCCCATTATGTCACATTACACAGAGCATTAATGGCGTCGTAATAGTTGTTAGAAAATAGGATTAGTGTACCCTGAAATTAGCGTTAAACAAATAACGTTAGCACTGACCTGATTACGCGGACAAAATAAGTGCTTCAGTTTTCGTTCACGTAAACAACCTCTTCTCATGGCCTATAACGCTTCGGGGTGCAATGGAAAGAGGAAATGCTATGGTAACGGATCATTTTCGACAGGATTTGAAGCATAAGTAATTTTTATCGAATTAACCACTCATTGACTGGGTGTTCAACACCCATTCACATGATAAATAAGCACACAACTTCCGATTTATATATTTTCTACATACATATTTAGTGACCGTTCATAATCAATGGGGTGGGGGTTTTACGGAGAAGCATGTACAATGTGAATGACCTCCCTACAATTCATGTACAAAGTAAGTGACACCCCCTTTGCATATGTCATATTAAAAATAAAATAAACCCACCCCCCACCCCATAATTTTAAGCATAATCTTTTTTATGTACAAATTTGCTTACCCCCCTAGTACATGTGTACAAAACTGATGA